TCTTAGTGGCTTGGGAGGCTGAAGCAGGAGGATCATGAGTTCAAGGCCAGCCTCAGCAAAAGCAAGGTGCTAAATAACTCAGTGAGACCCTGACTCAAAATACAAAACAGGGCCGGGCAGTGGCTCAGTGGTCAAGTGCCTCTGAGTTCAATTCCCAGTACTACCCCCCACCCCCCAAAATAAAGTTTTAATCTCTTAGTTATAAAAGCTATATGATTAGTCCTCCATATTCATGAATTCTATACCCACAGATTCAATCATGGATGTAAAATATACAGAATAAAAGAATCCATCTGTACTGAACATGCAGACTTTTTCCTATCATTATGCCTAAACAAGACAGTGTGACAACCATTGCCATTGTACTGGGTATTGAATTAATCTAGAGATGGGTACAGTATATGGGAGAGTATGCACAAGTTAGATGCAAATACTATGCTTTTCTTTTTTCCAGTACTGGTGATGATGTAAGGCACTTAGTTATGTTGCCAGCCTTCTTGAGACAGGATCTACTAATTTGCTGAGACTGGCCTCAAACTTGCAATCCTCTTGCCTCAGCCTCTAGTCACCAGGATTACAGGTACGTGCCACCACATCTGTTCTTTTGTTTTTGGAAACAGGGCCTTGCCCAGGTTGGTCTCAAATTCATGAGCTCAAGTGACTCTCCACCCGACTATGCCATTTTCTGTAAGATACTTGGACATCTATACATTTTTGTTTTCAAGGGGATCTTAAAACAAATCCCCAAAGATACTGAGAGCTGACTGTATAAATACTTTTTAAAAAAGACAAGAATGTTAATTGTTGTTATTCCTGAGTTGTGGGTTAACGCAATATTTAATTAAATAAATAAATGGAATGGAGAGAGTAAGGAGTGGTTGGGACTGTGGCATGGAGTATCTGTGCCCCATCAATGGTGTTCAGTGTTTTCTAATACTATGAAGGCCACACAAAACTATTAGTTTATGATCCCTGGACATGGGTTTGGCCGCATTATTTTAGGCAGTAGGCAAATGGGGAGTGGTTTTTGACAAACTAGTATTGAGTGAAAATGCAAGTCTCACAAATTATAAACCAGAAGTAGGAAAATAAATAAATAAATCAACCTGCTTTATTTATTGTTAGAGGGAAGTATAAAGTCATGTCACCCCAAGGCTCAAGCTGAGGTGGCAGAAAGGTTTTGTGACTATGCTGACAAAAGTTATCACAGGGCTTCCTAAGGTACATTACTCAAGTACGGAGGCCTAAGCCATCTTGGTGTCCACGTAAATATTTTCAGGGCATAAAAGCTAAACAGAATTTGAGTTGAATGGGCAGAGGAGGCTACAGATGGCTACAATAGCACAGATGGATGAAAAGACATCAGAGATAGAAGCCAACCAGACATCATGAGCTGCTTCTAGCGACATTTATGAACTGTCCTGGTCTCAGAGGTCCTGAAGGGTGATCCTGCAAGTGCCTTGGATGTGCTCAGCATAGAGGACAGTATATCTTCCACTTTATAACTTTAGACCCAAGTTAGATAAACTAGAAAAGAGATGATAAACACAGGTCTGACAGACTTAAAAGCCTGCGCAGGAAACCCCCACCTCAGAAGCTGGACGTTAGTAGTTAATCATTGAAGCCAAGTCAAAGTCAGAATAACCCAGGGCTTTTTTTCCCACCTCACCAGCATCATCATTTAGAAATTCTCAGGTACCAAAAAGTACACCTCATACCTTAGGAAGTAAATAATGGCCAATTCCTAATTCACAAGGGAGCACGCAGCTTAATTAGCCAAACATAATAGACACACTTAGCTCTCAACTGAGCAACTGCTCTATCTTCACTCAAAAGGTAGTATGATGCACATATCTTTGAAAGAGGTTGAAACAGACTCATACATTAAGTTTATAATTTGTATTTTGACCTCACTTCAAAAAACTAGTGGCTCTTAGTTATTAAATAAGCATTATTTCTTGTCATTTTAGTTTCTTCTGGTTAGGAAACAGAGTAGACATTTGTGACTATAATGAGTTCCATGACCCTTTAAAACACATTTAAAACATAAAAATTATCTCTTTTTCTACCCCGACTCACCTGCCTACTCCTGAGTCTTATTCCCACAGGAAATAACAGGCCTCCCAAAACATAACCTTCATCTATGCAGAGGTCATGTAACTATTTAATTCACAAAACAGGCTCAGAAGAAGTTGAGACAGATGAAATAAATGGCAAGATGTGTCTATAAAAATTCAAGTATCTAGCTCAGGTCCATCACTACACCTTCATATTATTTTCATCATAACTCTAATATGCTTCCTATCTGGTTTCCATTATTTTAGCAAGTCAGAAGAAAAGAATTACCAATTAGATATGATAAAGCATTTGTAGAGACAGATGAATAATTACAAAGCAGCGGTGGTCAGGGGAAGAGGAAAAGCAGCACAAGTAGGCAGAATGCACGTGCAGGAAGCCTTGGGAGACAAGGTGAGAGGTCAAATGACTCCAACGGAACCAGGAAGAAACGGCTGTGTGACTGGTGCTCTTGAAGATTCCAAACCATCAGTTACACTCTACTCAGAATAATTTATTTAACATAATGAAGGATCTAATATACTTCACTTAAAAAGTAAAATTAAAAAGTATTAACGTTCAAGAAGCTAAAAGATTTCCTCACAAGTCACGATGAGTCTCAGTCTTCTCTAATAGTGCAGAATAAATCACTTTACAGAAGACATACACACATAGAAACACAAATAACTTTAATGATTTTTGGTAAATAAAAAGGAAGCTTAGATATGATTGAAAAATGAAAATAATTACAAGTATATCTATACAATAACTCCAGGTTTCAAGAGCTTAACATAAACCAACTGCTGTCAAGATAAATATTTAAAGAAACCAAAAATATTACTTATTAGAGGAGGAGAAAGAAAGCAGAGAGGGAGAATAAACCTAGAAAATGAATGAAGGAATGTGAGCAGAAAACTCCAAAGTGTTTTCACAAAAAGGAATTCAGATGCGAGGAACAGATACAAACCTGTCTGGGAATGTGACCTAGGATCATAAGCAACAGAAAGTGACTTAAAATAAGTTATAAATCCAAAATGACAACCGAATCCCAGAGTTATAAATTATTTAGGCCAGACATTATCCAACTCGTCAGATTCATTTGGTGCAATGATGTTCATCATTCTCCATCAGAATGAAATGTGGAACAAACACATTAATGGCCGTAGAGAGAGAGAGCTTCAGAGCTAATTCACCCTGTAATGTCAGGGTCAGAAAAATATTATTTTTGTTCACCTAACACATGTGTTGACATGAAAAAAGTAATATGTCAAAAAAGGAACTGACGTAAAACATATCTTCAAATTATCGCAGAATCTCCAAGTTAAATAAGTGAGTCTCAAATCTTGATTAGCCTTTAGATTCTCAGTATTTAAAAATTAGGAATATTCTATTCCACTTTATCAAACTGTTCTCTTTGGCTTGTGAGAGACCAAAGTGGCAGTCTCATAGCATCTCCTTCTCCAAGCCTGTAATATTTTAAGTACATTCAATTTCTAAGAAAGATTTCATAAAGAATCCTGTTTTTTCTCCTTTTTCTTTTGAGACAGGGTCTCACTAAATTACCCAGGCTAGGCTGGCACTTGAGATCCTACTGCCTCAGCATCCTGAATAGCTGGGATTATAGGTGTATGTCCCCATAACAGGCAAAAATTCTGCTTCTTAAAAAATGTTTTAAAATTATGTATTCTATTCCTGTTAATGTACAAGGAGAATATTCAGACTATATAAAGCAAGCTCCCCAGGTTGGCCCTAACCCTGACCACTATGCAAAACAGACTGTTTTGGTATCAGGAGCAATCCCTTCTCATGTTTACCTATACATTTAATGCTATGCCCTTTCGTATTACTTGGGGGGAAAAAATCCATTCTAAATCAAATAATCTCCAACTTTTACCCTACATGCTAACCTAAAATTTTTATTTAGACTGGGCTGGGGGTGTATCTCAGTGTTAAAGCACTTGCCTAGCATGCTCAAGACCCTGGATTCAATTCTAGCCCCGCAAAACAAAAATAAAAACAACAACAAAACACAAAAAAACACAAAAATTATTTTAGCAATACCTAGCAAGGTCTTCCAGGGGAAAAAAAAAACAACAAAAAACTACTTCTAATCTAAGGTAATGACATCTGATTGACAATTTTGTGGATTGGTGGCACCTTCTAAGGAATACTGACACTAAAATATGTCAGAGAAAATACTCTATATACACATAGACAATAGATAACAGATAGCAGATAAACAGTTATAAAGTGACAGTTAACAATATGTACAACAGGTTTAACATTGATTTTCACTACCAAAAAAACAATGCCGCCATGGTTCAAAGCATGATTTCCTGATGAATATACAAGATTTAAAAAGGGATAAAAATTAAGAAACAGATATTCAAGAAAATTATAAGAAACTAAATACACACAATATAAAATGAAGACAATTGCAGATAGAAGGATTTAACACCTATGATGGCATATTTAGACCAGGTACTCTCTTTTAAATGCAGAAAAAAATCATTTAACAATATTCTGCTTAATAAAGGATGGAAAGTAATTTTTGCTGATGTCAGGTGTGGACTTTTTACATCAAAGAATATTAAAAAATTGAGAGTATGATGATATCATTTACAGATTTAACCAACAGTTATCATAGCCTCTCATTAATCTTTGATAGCTGATAGAGTAGAAGCACATGATGAATCAAAAACAGGCATCTTAAAAAGAAAAAAAAAAAAGTTTTTTTCAATGCTAGGGAATCAAATCCAGGGCCTTGTGCACACTAGGCAAATGCTCTACTACTGCGCTACTGAGCCACTGAGCTATAATCCTAGGTACAGAAAGAAAAATTCTTTAAAAGTGGTCCCAGCATCTAAATGCTAAACACAGAGTGTGAATTCCTAATCTGGCATCTTTTTTTTTTTTAAACTAAAAAAGTAGTAGTAGTAGTAGTAGTAGTAGTAGTAATGTGAATGAGTCTACCTATCTGTAAAAATGTGAATGATCAAAGATTGTGCTAAGTTCACACAACTGTGCAACTTCAATTTGAAATGTTCATCTGGTATGATATTCAGCTGTCAAGAGGAAGCAACTCAAAGGACATCACACAGTCTATAAACCAGCTTGAAGGAGCCATCCAGACTTTGCCCTGACGAACCCTTTCTGGGCGATAATTAGACAAATCCTCATAGATGATATACTGTGTGCAGAAGCGCTGATCAGAATCGGGCTTGGCATGGTACGCAACTGTATTGATGGTTTGAGTCACATCACTGTCTGGCTTAGGTTTTCTACTGAGGATCTGGCCCCCTGCTGCAGTGACAAGCTTAATAAGGTTGTCCTTTGGGTGATGTTTGAAGGTTCCCCCAAAATAGAAGTAACATCCATCAAATAGCTTTGGCAACTGAAATAACAAGGAAAATTTTGTTAAAAGCTGATTGAAATATTTAAAAACACTGCACAGGAATGAAGGATAAAAATAATAGTCAAGAGCAGCTAAGATACTACTTAATGAGGTGCTGGTACAAGCTGTATTTCAACTGAACTAATTGGATCAAGAAAAATACTTATGCAAATAACGGTTTCCTATTTATAATTTTTTCTCTAACCAATCAGTCACTACCATCTCAATTCCTTTTCACTCTCCTAAAAGCTTAAGTGTGTTTTGTATTTTTTTAAACAATGTTCATCAAACCTCTTTTATCAGCATACTTAGGCCTAGAATATCTGAGATATGCTTCAGGGACACTGGACTAAACTATAAAGACCATCCAATTCTGCCCACTCATATCAGATCCCTGCATCATTCCAACTTCAGGTCCTTAGGACAGCCATAGTGGTAGTATGACCTAAGGGTTCCAGAGATTATGAAATGATGGCTAGGAACCCAATTAGTTACAAGACATACTTCTGTGTGCTTTACAGAAAAATAGTTTCACAATTCCCTCCACTAAATTTTTTTGTCATTTCTAATACATTTATATATATATATATATATATATCAATATGATAATGGAATATTATCCATTAAAACTGCAATATGTAGCAATAAAGACATATGGTAACTAAATCCGAGCAGCAGCTGTAAGTCTTCTTTCAAGCTACTTCCTGTATCTGAGATTTACCTCAGATTCTGAAAGGTTTATGGGAATGTTCAAGATGCCAAAAATCCATTAACAGTATGAAATTATTACCTTCTGGATTTTACTGCACATCGTGATCATCTTTCAGAATCAAGTGCTTGAAATAAGCACAATTAAAATTTTAATCAGTCACCTGTACTTGCTGAAAGGGCAGAAGAAGTTTTTCTTGATGGTGATAATAATATGAAGTTATAATAAGAACAATGAAAGTAGTATGGAAAGAAAAATACCAGCTGTTCTCTGTTAAGCCTGCTTCTCTGTGGGCCTTCAGGAATTTCATACTTTTCTTCCTGTTCACATACTTTGTTTTGTAGAGAGACCTTCACCCCTGACAAAATACAAGGACAAATCAAAATAAATATCAAGTGAACACTATTTTTCTCTCATTGAAATTAGACGATTTACTAAAGTTTTTTTTTTTTTTTCCTTTTCATGGTTGTTCTCAGTATTATTCTGAAATAGAAACTTCATTTAGGCCAAAATATAGCAAAAATGATATTCCATATAAAGAAAATATAAGAAATCCTTCCTTCAGGATTAAGCAATGAGTTAGTACTAAACAGTAATTTTAAACTCCTTTGTGAACAATCTAAACCAATACACTATTTCAAAAACAAGAAAAGATATAAACAGTTTTACTAATAGCAATTACCCAAATTAATGTGAATAAAAAAGTCCATCACACAGCTATTCAGAACGCTGAGGCAAGAGGACTGCAAGTTTGAGGCCAGCCTGGGTAGCTTAGCAAGATCCTGCCTCAAAATAAATAAAAGGCTGGGAGTTCACTCAGTAGCAGAACATTTATTTATTAGCATGCATAAGGAAGGTCCTGGGTTCAATCTTCAGTACCACAATGTGGGGTGGGGTGGGATGCAGAGGGCTGTAGCATCATTGAGTCCAGCACACAATAATATGAACTAAGCATTTATCATCTGACTGCTCATTTTGGCTGTTAGACTGCAAAGAATTCAACATTAGGAAAAATGCTTGAGTCCACAGCACCTACATAGCTAGTCATATGATAGAGGTTCGACAGTACCTGTTAAAATAAAAAAAAAAAAAATAAGCAGCATTTATTGCCTGGGATTTGACATTGAAGTCACTAGTTTAGAGAATATTTGGTTGGGCTTCACAAGAAAAAGAACAGTCTTCTGATGGCTTGCATAAGTGTGCTCAGATTCAGTTTATAAAGCAAGGGCAACCAGTGCCCAGCATGATGCTACCTAAAGTCATTCCTCTAATGGGCTCCTGGGAGGAGAAGTCCTAAGCAGGACCACCTGCTAACAGCCAGCACCAACTGTCTAGCTAAGTTTGGAGATAACAGGAGTCTTCGGGTGCCAAAGATCATCAGATGGGAGTACCCAAGCAGCTTAATCTAAAGACCACATCTTAGTGTATTGAAAGGCACCATCAATGGTAAATATATATACATCAATGTCATGCATATATATTTACCATACTCCTAGGTTTGATGGCACAGAAAAAACTCAATTTAAGATTCGAAGTGAAATGACTTTGTTATCCCAATCATTTTCTTTGGAATATTATTTAAACTCTTTAACCTAAGTTTCCTTGCCTATGAAAAGAGAAAAAATGAAACTAACAATATCACCTACTTCATTCACAGAGCTTCTTGTGGATAAAAACACAAGAAGTGTTCTAGAAACTAAATTGTGTAATAATTACCTTCATGATAAAAACAAAGCCTTCAAATCATTTGTTACTTGTCTTTGACATTATTGTGATCAATAACCTCAATTTTATCATTGAGGAAATTCCATGAGGATTTGTAGGAACAAAATTTTGAAAAAAAAGAAAAACACAGCATCTATAAGACTTCAGAATTATAGTTCAAATTCTTAGCTATTTTTAAGTTGTTTTTATGTAAAAATGTTGTATCTTTTATCACTTGATATCTACTAGCTTAAAACTTAACCAGAAAAAAACTAACAGCTACATAAATATCTACTTTCAATTGTGAATTATGCATATATGCTGGAAACAAATTGATTTAACATCATATTAGAAAACCTGAAAAATGTTGGTGATAAAATTCTGTCCAGGTAATCCCTACTCAATTCAAAAGTAGAGTAACTCCAATGTAGAAGAATCTCTTAGCTTATAAATGTATATATACAGATATATATATCTGTATATATACAGGGCTCCTTTCTGAACTGAAGGGTGGCCCAGAAACAAAAGATAATCACTCAAAGCATCAGAACTGTCCCAAATTGCATTTGAGTATGATAAAAGGCCTCTTGCCCTATGTTACCTTAAGAGCAAACCTGATGCTGTATAAGACAAACTCAGTGCTTTGCAAAAGTCAACAACATCTCACTTTAGGCTGAGCTCGACTTTATCAGACAACTCTTTTTAAACTTTCTTCTCTATTATCCTAAACTCACAAAATAATGAAACTTCATAAATGTCTACATGAATCAATCTGCAGAACTTGCATTAAGAGACAAAAATTGAAAAAATTTAATGTTTTGAGGAAAAATGGGATATTTGAACCCTATTTATTATATTTATTCCAAAGTCTTCCTTGAACACTTGGATTTTGAAAATATTTAAAATTATGGAATTAAAGACCTAGAAAAGATCCTAATGGTCTTGCCTAACTTTCTTATTTTATTGATTTGAAAAGTCAAGTGCAGAAGCATAAAGTGATTTGTTAAGATCACTGGTAATATGGCCAAATTGAAGCTAACTACTTCCTAACAAAATAGCTTTTCACTGTAGTGCTCCTTCCTGTACCTTAATTATTAAGTGCCTATTATGTACAAAAGAGTTAGTCTCTGCCCCTAAGAAGGGAAGTGTTACTCATTTTTTATATTCCTACTGTTTCCTGCCACTCTTTAATTCCATAATCTAACTGATCACTTCCATTAAAATCGAAAGGCTTTATTTTAACTGGGTGCTTAAAGTGAAATTTTATTGCTTTATTTTCATTTATTGGTAACCAATTAATCCATTATCAAATTTAGTTTTTCATTAAAATTTGTGCCAAAGATGTTAAGGATGCCACCAAGACAAGCTCAAGTCAAGGTACATAAAACAGCAAAGGAAACAAAGACATCTGAGTGTAAAATTGTTTCTAAAAACAATGTAGGACCAATTTATCTTCAATATTTAAAAACTGCCAATAAAATATTCTAGAAGTATTAGTGATTTGGATGTAAGTCTTTATTATTTATGGTATTAAACAACAAAAAAAAACAACGTTGAAATAATAAGCAGAATATCACTAAGAAAATATGGAAAGTCAAGTTTTTTTTGTTACTTCTCTAGGCACAAACAGTAGAATGTGAACAAAATTTACTTGCTTATTTATTAAGTTTATTCTTACACTTGTAAATCCTATAAGACAAAACTTTCTTTTTTTAAAAAAAAATTTTATTGTTGGTTGTTCAAAACATTACATAGTTCTTGACATATCATATTTCACACTTTGATTCAAGTGGGTTATGAACTCCCATTTTTACTCCGTATACAGATTGCAGAATCACATCGATTACACATCCACTGATTTACATATTGCCATACTAGTGTCTGTT